CAAGACCATGATACACAGAAAGATGAGATGCAGGCACACAGCCCTTTTGGCAAACACTGCTGAAGGAGTGGTAATCTCCAAGGAGAAGAGGCAGACAGCCGGGACAAAAGGGAATACTGTAAAGCTGCTGTAGCTTTCTTTATATGACCGAGTCAAAGACTACAGGATCATTACTCTGGGATGCAGTTTCTCAGAGACAGCAGCCTAATGATTCAAGCTAATTTAAAGCTACCAACAATGAAAAGGAAATCTCACCCGTACCCAATACGTGGTCCTGCCAAGGATCAACACCAAAGGGATCTGGCTGAAAGTGAACCACACAAATAAAAACAAAAAACCAAAACAGAACACCCCTTGTTTTCAGAGGGATCACTGAATGACCCCAGCACTGACAAACACTGAAGACAAGAATGCCCAGGGAAGTGAAGGCAGGAGGAGCACAGAACATGAAGGATGAGTTAAAAAAAAAAAAAAAAAAAATATTATTACAGAAGCTTAAAGTGTCAAAAATGAAACTCACCCAAGCAATTCTTTGCCTGTTCCACTCATGTGGCATTCGGATAAAGTTCATTTTTCTGCAGTTTCCCCTCTCTACCTTTTTGAAGGAAGTAGTGAACCCTGTTCATATTTACCAACTGCAGCTTAATGTTTTTCTCCTGTTTCCTATAATGACTGAAAAGAACTCAGCACATTTTCTAAAATCCCAGAAAACTAGATTTTATAAAAATTAAAAAAGCATAGTGACATAAAAAAACAGCAACAAAACAAATATCACAAGAAATGTAACATTAACATGTTGTGGATGCTCCTTTCAAACCCAGGTAAATCTCAGCTGCTCCTAAAGGTTGCTTTGGCTCCATTCATCCAAATCCTGGCTGTGTGCTCCTACAACGTTTTTTTGCATCACAATTGGCCAGTGTGTGGGTACAGGATGAGATGGATGGTGAGAGTGAACTGACATGATGGAAAACTAATCCTCCAATGAAAAACAGAGAAACTTAACAAATAAATAATTTTCTGCTAGATCAAGTCAATGAACTAATTCATTCTCAACTGAAGAATCACTTGGTCCATTGTAACCAGAAAGGAAAGGAATATGTAGCTGGATGTAGAGGGGATGTGGAGTGACCTTTTCAGTAGTAGCCCACCAGCACAGCAGTTTCACTGTGACATTTTATACACATATATAGATATACACACATGCCAAGATTTGTACTTACAGTGTGAATTGTGCAATTCTATTTCACAGCATTTCCTTCTTCCCCTACCCAATCTGATATCACTTAACAATAAGTCTTTAAAGCATTTAAGATAACTAAATTCCACATAAAGTCCTGTACTAATCTTTACAAATTGCTGCTATCTGAAGTTTTTGTTCTACATTCCAATAGACACACTCTTCCAGCAGCATACACTCCAGTGGGACAGATCTGTTAATTACAGCTAAGTTTCATGTTTGCATGAAAGAACCAGCAGCCTCTTCCCAGCATAACCAAAACCCAAGCAAACCCTGCCACTAAGGCTCTTAAGAGTTTTAAGAATAAGAATTCTCTAATGCTCCTGAAGAGTATTACAACGACACAATTTATAAATCAGACATGTATGAAGATTAAATAGTTTATTCCCCTGCTGGGGATTTAAAAACTCCAGGCACATCTTTAGCACCTTTTTCTCCATGTGTACCTGTGAGGGTTTGGTTTTTTTGTTGTTTTGGTTTTTAAAGAGCAATATTCTGCTGGAAAAGAACCTTTATTTTTGTGTATTATCCTCTGTAACTTAACAAGGCTCAGTGGAAACCCCGAGACCTTTTTAATTAAGACAGGATCTCCTACTCCCCACTTTCTTTTCTGATTTTACTCAAATAGTAATTTCAAATTTCCACTTCAACATCATCTTTAGCTTAACCTCCTACATGCTTGCCCTAGAAGTGCTTCCTCTCATAGATTCTGGTATAAAGCCGATGTGGTTATCAATGAGTACTCCATTGTTTGCACATTTTCAAATGCTCATAAGCCTTCCACCCATTTCCATTTCCACCATTTCTCCAGATAATCCATTTCCAATTTTCCATTTTAGCTCTCCACATGATAATAATCGAGAAAATGTCGTCACTGACAAAGATGACTAATCTCTCCAGAGGTCTTATATAATTCCTTGAGTTTCCTCTTTTGCCATGTTCTCAAATCTGTCTTCTTTTCAAGATAAAACTATTCAAGATTATAAACACAGTTTGATAAAACAGGAAACAATGGTTTTATGTTTACACTTTGCATTAATCACTCAGCCTATTCTTCCATCTTTTCCTTAAGACTTCCCATTTGCTTATGTAATTTCAATAACTAGCTATATTGTTTCTTTACTAGAGATTTCCCTTCTTCCAAAATGCTTATTACTGCCTGCAGCCTGAGTTTTAAACATAACCACAGACACACCCATTTATAAGTATATCCTAGAAAATTACATATCGATAGATTTTCTTCTATTTTATTTCATCTCTGCTCCTTAGAGGTGCTCTCAAATATTTTATTAGTTTATGCTTAAAGCTAATTTCACAGAGACTGTCTAATCCACCCTAACCTTAGTCTTACATGAAGCATCACAGAAGGATTAAAATTGGTTCTCCCAGCAACTGATGCTGAGGTTTGTGCTTGTGAATATATCAAAAGCAATCTAATTATAATCTTTCCTAAGGTGCAGGACATAAAAACTTCATTTCACAGCTAGCTACATCCCTTGAAACTTGTGGTTTAAGCACAGCCTATTTCAGAGATACACAGAACAGCCTAAAAAGCAGTGAAAAGGCAAAGAATAAAGGGCTGAAGACAGGTGAAGGAAGAGAGCTGCAGTGAATGAAGGCAACATGCACCAAGCTGACATAAAACTGGTTCCAGGTAATGGGAAAGGGGAACACTGAGCCAAATTTGTCTTGATAGAGCTCAGGAATGAAAGCTTGACCTAGACCATAAACCAGCATGAAAACAGTTTTAATACATAATCACTAAGTCTTGACAAAGTCAATCACAGTCACAGCAACACAGGAAAGTGACAAAGTTTCCATTAATGTACAGCTAACTGCTTTTGTAAAACACAAACAGGCCCTCAAATCCAAGGGTGTGAGCTGATTAAAGGTTTAAAAGAACTTGCATGCAACACTGTGGCATTATTCAAACCCAAACAACATACAGAAGAAAACAAAACACAGCCTCATTTTCAGCCCATGACAGAATCTGCAGAGTGTATCAACAAAAAGGTCTTCTGGGTGGTCTTCTGTAGGGCAGAGTTTAGAATTCCAGCCTACTCATGGCTCAACTGCACGGAGAAAAGCAGACACACACAAAGTACAGATTCTTTGCCTTTCTTCTGGAGTGCCAAAAACTTGAAAAACTCTCAGTGGCAATCAAACACTCCCCCAGTCTGGCAAAGTACTCAACTGGAGTATATGACAAATCTGGTCCTAACATGCTGTAGGAATCCCGGAACAACAAAGCAGTCTGGAGTGGACCCTTCGAGTGGTAAGAATTAAACAGATGCTCCAAAACATTTGCTGAGGGTCTGCTCCTATCTTGCCAAGTTCTTCAGATCAGGGAAGATGCTAAGGGAAAGCTTTCTCTAACTCCCTCCTACCAACACACTACAGGGACCATCCCAGCCAGGTCTGTGCACACACATTGCATCTGTAAGCAAAGCAAACTCCCAATACTTTATTATCGATTAGGTTATCAGCTCACTAAGAGATATTTTCTTTATAAATATAAAAGTGTTTAAACTTGCCTTTTAAACAACAAGGAGTTTCCACAGATCAGGATCTAATTTTGAAATAGTAGAGCTGAAGTCCTTAACATCGAATTTTTAAATTTGCCTTCTCCTTCCCACACAAAATCACAAGAAAAACTAAAGAAAACTTCCCAACTCTTATTTTATGGAAAGATTAAAAATACCAAATGAGGGAATTTGATATCTCATAAGAGTTACTTAAGCAAGAAAAGAACCCAATAATTATTTCTCAGCCAAAATACAGAAATTGAATTTTCTACTTCAAGCATTAAGTAGTTTTCCAGACAATACTGAAAAAGTAATAAGTTTCAGAAGAGCAAAGTACTTCTCGAGCAGGAAGATCATTTTTTTCTGAGAGTGCAAAAAACATTTGCTTGATACTTTGACACTTAAGGGTATGTACCAAGCTAGTACATCAAGACACCAAGAAAATCTGCATTTAGCACTATAAATATGAACACCCTGCCTGGTATTAAAAAAAAAAAAAGGAGTTGAACGAGTAAAAGAAAACACGTTTTTTCAAGGGTCAAATACACTTTAATGCGTGTAAGATCAACTCCTAAAATCCACCCAGACCTCAGGGTGTAATTGTGACCCTCAGTGTGAGCCATAGAGCAGCACCTGGGCCCATGTGAGCACTCCTGAGACCATCAGCACTTAACTGCAGGATAAAATTCAGAAGCCTTTGACCCTGATGAAGTCTTCAGGATGAAATATTTAAGGAGAATTGCTTATGGTATTTAACCACACACCAGTGCCTTTTCCTCCATAAATGTTTGGGGATTTTTTTTTTCCCAGTAGGGCCAGCACTGATCTGCTTGAGTTGCTATGCAGAACAAGTGCTAAGAAAACATACAAGAAACCTGTGGACATTGGGAACAGCTACATTATAATTTTGGAAAGTAAAATGTTACAAGGATAAAATATAAAAGAAAAAAATGCTTAAATCAAGGTGCTAAAACCATACCCTTTCTAAACACATGGGTTTTTTCTCCAAGACCTATAAGGCTCAGAAAATGCTGAGCTTTCAAAATTCCCATTTTTGCTTGCCTTAGGCTCATTTCAGGATGCCCTTTTGAATATTTAGGCTCAACTGTTCACATGACTTTGATGACAGCAACAAATATATAAACAAATATATATATATATATATATATATATATATAAACAATCACCTCATTTCTATTAAAAACCCTCAAAAATTTATAGAACAGTTTTGTACCTACCAATCCACCACTGTCAAATGTCCAAGCACTTGGATCGAAGTCAAGTTTACTGACACACACGATAAATTTCTCTGGAAACACACGAAGGTCTACATAAAAAGAATTGAAAAGAGGATTAAAAAAATCATAACCACTTTCAAAACCACTCATAACAACAACATACATGTTATTTTAATACACAAAATGACATTTTTTTAATTGCACACTAACTCATTTCACGCACCCCTCTAGCTTCTTACTTACTCTCTTCAACATGCCACTCCTCCTTTGTTTTGTTTTTATAAAGCATTTCAAAAAATCAATAACTAGAATAAATTGAGTTCCCAAGAGTACAGTCATGGTTGCAAATGAGTCCACCTGCATCTCTGGACATGAGGACCAGACAGAACCAACAGGCAAACCACTTAAGAAGGATTTCTTTTGTGCTATTCTGGTGATGAGTCTTTTCATCACAAAAGCTGTAAATGAGGTTTTTAACCCAGAACAACATTCAATCAGGGCTTGGCATCAAACCTGAGCATAAGGCCAGGGCAGAGTGTTTCACACTCTGACTACAGAGATTTTTTAAGTCATTAAACAAATTGGTTAACTACTACTGAATTACACATTTTACTCAAGATCACATGTTTGTTATGAACACAACAAAGTTTCTTTTTACAGAGGATTAAAAATTGAAGGGTTCCCAGATTAGAACAGATGAGACAAAGCTTTATTCAGTACCTGCAATGCTATGGGAAGAGCACAAGTGGATATTTTCTGGTTAATGTATGGAATTATTTCCAGATCAGTATCTTCATATTTTCAGCTCTATTTTTTTGTTGTTGCTGTTGGGTTTTGTTTTTTTTATAGAAAGAGAATAATTTTTAAAGTTTTTAATATTTCAAAACAAAGCCATAATACTCTATTTTTGCAGGACAAGAAAGAGACAAGGCTTCCAGAAAAAAATCTACGACGTTGATCTCACAGATGTTTTTTTGTAGAATTGAAGAGTAGGACAAGTTGCTTCCAGTAACATGTTTTTATTGTTACATTTTATAACAATCTCATCTGCTGGCTAGTAAAATGCAGGTGTCTTTTCGTATTCATTGATGTTTTAGAACAGTTCAAATATAACAGACATCAAACAATTTTGAGATTCCAATGCAGACACTCTGCAATTCTATTCTAACAGGACATGTTTGATGAAACATTTACCACTGATCTCTTCAGCCAGTATGGACTTACAAAATAACCAGTTGGCATTTGAAGACATATTTAAATGTTTATGAATATCATGAAAAACAGTAAATTATTTTAAAATATCCATTCAATTATTCAGTATTTTTAAGGATTTTTCTTTTTTTTTGTTTGATGCCAAGAGGTCAGTGCAGAGGGCAGTGATCGTTACAGCTCTTTTGCGTTGCTGTTGACAGGAGAGGATTGATCTCCCTTCCTTCCAGAGCATCCTGGCTAGAGAAAACATGAAGAAAAGATCTGGTCCAATGACATCACCTACGTCAAGATTTTATAGCTGTGAGGTGAACAAAAGCCTTTCCTGCATACACTTGTACTGCATGTTGATGTCACAAGACACTGAGCAATAATGAAGTGATTCATGCTGCAACCTCTGCTTGATTCACCCTGCAGAGACTCAGGAAAATGCTGAGTCTCATCATACTTACAGAATTTGGTGGGGCTTAGCTGATTACCCTGGGGCAAGGCATACACCAATTTAAAATTAAATTAAAAAAAAAAACAAAAATCCATCTTATCTCACGAAACACTCCTTTTATTTTTTGTTTTTGGGAAATCTTCTTTGTAAAAAACAAACATAAAAACCCCACCAAAAAACCCAAGCTCTGGAAGAAATTTTGATTTAAGTAGACCAAAATCTGACAGAGCCTTAGTAGTTATGTTCCCTTTCTTCCTCTTCTAAGTAACTCTGTAAGAAACTGATTTCTTACCACGATAACGTTTCCCTAGAGCACAACGGAGATTAACCCATCTCTTCATAAAGTAGGCAGTAATGTGCAAACTGTTGGCTGCAACATAAAACAAAGGGATAATATTAAGTGTAAGGGTATCTTGGGCATTCTGGTCTCAAAGTGCTGCACATCTGCTAAAACCAGATTGAGAGAAAGCAGCAGCAGCTCAACAGTACAAAGGAAAAGTAACTTTAATGGAATATTTTTCAAAAGAAACTGCTGAATTCTCATACTTAAATCTCAATAAATTAGTGCTTGAAACAGGGAAAAATCAACACAAATTAATAACCACCAAGTTTTGGAATCCAACCACAGAAATGGAATTATTTAATTGATCAGATGTGTCATTTGCTTAATAGTGTGGTGTCATGTTTTCATACACATTCTACAAGAACACTACAGATATCCATTTACTTGAGTGCCTTCTAGAGGAAGGTGACAGACCTGGTAGAAAAAAAAATAAATAAATAGATAACTACTAAGAAACCCAAACATGAAAGGGCTTAATTCTACAGTTCCATTGAATGAGGTGAGAAATGCCCACATTTGAACTCCTCAGTACAGCAGCCCCAGCTGGCCTGGCTGACTCGGCAGGTACCTGTAACCTCCAGAGGCTTTTTCAGTTTCTATTTCCTAGAATGACAGAAATCCTTTGTGCATCAGCAGAGTAGGAAATGGACAAAAAAGATTACATTATGGCTAAGAGAGTATTAGACCAAGGAAATCAGCTTTTACTTTTGTTCTACTTAAATTCCCAAATGACCCTGATAAATCAGTTAGCACTTCATTCATGAAGGTATGAAGCAATCTGACTCCCACTGAAAGTGAAAAAAGCTGACACCTGTGACTCATCCTCCCCAGTCTCCCTGTGCACCTCACCGAAATCCAAGTGTGAAATAAGGTTGGTGATATTTCCCCTAACTTGGATGGGGCATGCAAGACTTAAATTATTGATGCTTTGAAGACAGTCAGCTACCTTAGGTGCAATTAGCACAGATAAGTTAGAATATTAAGTGCTACTGCTGTTTTAATAATCTAATCAATTAAAAAAGAAGGAAAGCTTGCTTGTTGCAGTCTCAATCCCTACTGAGCAAGTGCCAAGTCATGCCTTATCTGTAAGTATAAATACATGTCCTGCTGAAGGGTCTCCCACTCTCCTATTTCTACAAGTTCTTCTGCAGCTCACCAAGTGCTCTTGAGCTCTCATTAAGAACTACAGTTATCAATCACAATCAATCCCTTTGAAATTTATCAGCCATCTTTTTTCCTTCCCCTCAGGAAGACACCCAAAATTTGACTTCCTTTTAGAGATCGAGTCAAGATGTGACAAGTTGAACCATCCCTTGAAAATGATGAGCACTAGAGAAAAATTTGGATGGAATCCACCAGCTTTATTAACTGTTTACTTAAAAGAACAATTAAGGAAAATTACTTTCAGCTATTTCCAGTTTGGCATCTACAATTCTTTATCACCACTAGTAGGCTTAGTCAAATCAAAGAATTTGCCCTGTACATCAATAAGTTATTAGTGTGATAACAACATTCTCCACTGTGACCTTGGAAAGCTGAGAAAGTACCATTCCTAAAAATACAACTTGGAAAACAAATCTTCAGACAGTAAATATTAAAAGTTTTTCTTTCTACCTCCATTTGTTGGTGATATTCCACACATTTTGTTTTATTTTTTTTTTATAGGAATCTAAAATGAAAAAGCGTGAATCTTTGTTTTTCACAGGAAAAGCAGGACACTTTGTTCTTGAAATTCTTTTATAGATCAGTGACATCTATATCTGTTTATTTTTCTTGCTGTCCTGGTATTCTCTGAGAGGTTAAGTGTTTAATTGCATGTGATTGACTGACAGTTTCAAATTCTCCTTAGAGGCCCTTGATTCAGCCAGCTACTGTTCTGTGGAAGAGAACCTACCTCAGATCTGACAAAATAATTATGTAACAGATCAAGACACCTCTACAAACTAATTTTGCAGCATCAGCTCAAGTCTGAAAGTCTTATAAAGCCTTCACAGGGAACTGCACCTGAGCTAATAAGCTCAGCCCAGAGGAACTAACACTAAAAAATCATTTTAGTTTCCATGATTATTTACTAATTTGCTAGAAAGGCCTGAACAGATATATGCTGTTACTCGTTGCTAAGTCTGAGAAAAGCACTACATTTAAAATACCTGCATTTTGAAAGTATCACACAGCTACACTCATTAAATGTTTTTAAACCCTCATGTACATGACATATGATTTACTCTGTAATCATCTGGAGTTTGAAGAACTCCCCTAGCTTTAAAGTCAAAGTTATTGCAGAACTAAAAAAATCGTGATATCCTCTTTCAGCTTCCTTCTGGGGAAATATATTATCCAATTAACTATTCTGCTTCCTGAAAAAAGAAACTTAAAAATAAGACCCACAAGAAAACCTTCTTATCCAAGAACCCCATGCGACTCACAACTTTTTAAACTTTCTACACACTCAGCATGAGTTTAAAACTCTTCATGATCTCATGGAAGAACAGACCAACTGCTATGTACCAAATCCTCAATCACTAAATTCTTTTGAGCACAACACAGAAGTTTGAACGTCAGTTACAGACAATTCTTCTTCCAGTAACATAGAAAGTTCTCACATCTTGGGCTCAGCAAACTTAGTTGATCCCATCTTCACTTTCCTCTTCACCATCCAACACAGACAAAACTCCCTTTGTGGATTACCACCACACAGGCAGAAATAAAATTGTATTTAGTGACTTGAGGTTTTGTTTTTCTTGTTTCAAAGCTGGGCACTCTAAATCATCAGATCCAGGGTCCAAAAACAAACAAGAAAAACAAAACCAACCAAACAAATCAACCCCAAAGAAATAAACAGACCCTGAAACCCAAAAGGAGACTGCATAAAAGTGGTTCTAGAAAAGCCACAGTTCAGTTTCAGCTGAAATAGGCACCAGTGAGTGCTGCCTTTTAAGGCAACAGTAATTTGCCCTGCTTGTTGTATTTCAGAGTCCCACCACACCAAGAGGAAGTATCAAACACCAACTCTCCTGTAAGACTATCCAGCGACACTTGTTTTCCAAAGGAGACACAGCCAGGCTGACTTGAGCTTCCAGAAGGCTGCCAAGAGGCGGCTGTGGTGCAGTGTGGAGCAGTGGGAAGCCCTCTCCCACGGCTATTATGGACCATTCAGCTGGGAGCCTGGGAAAATGTCTCTGAGCTGCTGAGTTATCTGGAGCAGCCTGGCAGGTGTTCACTCCCCAGCATGATCTGGCACCTGCCTGGCTCCCTACTTCAGTCTTGTCCAAAGCCACAGCACAAGCCTAAGGCCAACTGCCCCCAAAATATTTCCATATCTGACAGGCACCTATTTCTCATCACACAGTATTTTTATATCGTACCTATTTTCCCTCCCAGCCTAAACACTTCACATTTCTGAATAGTTGTTGTGGATTAGGATGGGACTCTACTTTTGGAAAGTAACAATGAAGTAAATCATTGCAACACACACATTAAAAATATAAGAGGATAAATTTATAATGTTGCAGTGTGAAAGTAAATACATGAGTGCATTAGACTTTCTGAAACACTAAATTGTACATTAAAAAAATCTACACTTAGCTCACGCTTGTTTAATTTTTCCACACAGAATAGGCTATACCAGTAATAATGTTTACAGTATACAGAGCTTTTCATCTTCAAAGTGCTCTACAGACATATTATTACACTGCTTTTTAGCACTCATATTTCTCCATTTAAAATTATTCACCACAGAATCAAAAGTCCTGATCATTTGTAAACAAAACAAAAAAGGGAACATTTCATTCTAAACCTACTGTTAATTGTGCAGCTTTCCTTCCCAAAAATGTCCAACTCCACACCATGTGCTGCACAGTAGTCTGCCATTTCTAATTAGGAAGAGATTCAAATAAAATATTGGCATTTAAGTTTAAAGCCAAATCTCAGATAGGGACAGCAGATGCATGACATCCCCTCTAAATGGTGCTGAGATTTCCAAAGCTTTTTCTAGAATCCACTTGATATTTTTTAAACAAGAATCTTCACCCAGTTCGAACTGTTATACAGTAGAGAATGGGCTTCCAAACAACTGAAACATGTTAGGATGGCATCCATTCTTTCCACACACTCTGCCTTCAGTTCAAAGAAGATGATTACTGTGAGTACACAGGAAAACGTGTACTGATAAACATAACATCAAGCCCATAAGCTTTGTAAAAAGAAGTTTAATACCCAAGGAAAATTAAATTGATATACCTGAAGAATGGACGAAAAAATACTTGGGTGTAGTATTGAGTGAGTATTGCTGCAGGGTCTGACCTTACCAACTCTTGTACCTGCAAATAAATTCAGGGATGGAATTTGCCTTTGTCTTTTTCCAGGTGCCTTACAGTATCTTAAACCAAGTACAGACAAAACTAGATTGCTGATTTTTTTTTTCACCTTATTCTTTCACTGGTTTTTAGAATTACTGCTGCTCTTCTACCTGCTAAATCTTCTGAACACAGGCCAGTTGCCAACACAAATAGGTGAGAAATCCTTCCCACCAAGGACTTGGGGACAAGATTTAGTTCTTACCTGGGAACAGGGTCCCTGACTGGAAGAAAGAGATTAACCTTTTAAGAAGTGTGATCAAGAAAGGAAGGCCTAGAAGAATCCTCCCTGCTATCAGAACCTGGATATCCTGGACACAGCCCACTATCTAAACCATTCAGAGTATGAGCCACAAACTGCAAAACTGGACTGAACCATTTTGTAAAATCCTACAGTAGGGTTGTAGGGCTCTCCTCTAGCAGGAGAGGTGCGGAATTCACTGCAAAATCAGAACTATCCTGGCCAAACTGGATCCAGGATAAGGCATTCCTTAGGCTGGCTGTCAGTACTGTTCTGAAGGAAAGAATGAAGAAAAGCACATCTGAGACCATCTGGCTGCAAGATGATTAATGTCTCTGATGGAGGTCCTGGGAACACACCAGCTCTGAAGAAAAAAGACCATCTTCCCCTCACTAATACTTAAGGATGGAGAAGAAGGCTGATCCATTCCT